CGATAACTCTGAAAATATAAATTTCCTATTTTTTCTTTGAGCTCAGGGGAAATGCGATCAGGCGGAGCTAATTCAAAACCCTCCGGTAAAATAAGAACCGCCCCCACATTCAAACCACCCTTTTTTCCATTAGAAAGAACTTGTTTAAGTTGGAGATCATATGGGATTTGCACAACGGCCTCAAATACAGTATCAGGAAGTATCGCTTGGGGTACCTCAATATTCACAGGCTTATTCGCCAAATGGCAATTAGCACAGACAATACGACCAGTTGCTTCTCTTGGATTTTCATAACCCTGTTGTGCAAAAAGGGGATAGGCACTTGAAATAGATGTCCGAGTTAGGATAACCATCATAAGCAATGCCGAAAGATATTGAGTAATCTGTTGAGTTCTCGAATAAAAAAGATTTTTAGTGTGCATCGGCCAATTGTGGATTCCAAAATCAATAAAATCAAACGAGTTCGGTCGCTCATCTAGTCTACTATAACCACGATTCGGCCAGTTGCTCAAATAAAAAATTCATCTAGATTTTCTAAATTTTATAAAATAACCAAGCAGGATTAAAATAGAAAAAATGAAGAATCTAAGCTTCATATAACTTCACCTATTGAATTATAAATAATTAGAAGTGACGGAGAGACGCGGTTTAAATAGAGGAAAAGAAAATACTTAAAACCGATATCAAGACTGACCGGAATGATGCAAACAAGACAGGATATTATTTGATCATTATGACCAAATCCAAAAGAGTCGTAGAGAAATCCAATGGTGAATTCCCAACCGCGAGTTGAATGATATCCAAAAAAAAAATCCGTGAATAGAAGAAGGAAAAATACTTTTACTGTATCACTTAAATTAAATAAGAATTTTTGCAACCAAGAGTTCAGAATACTAAGGGGGTTTTCATTACGCCAATTAGCAAAACCATTTAGAATAATAAAACAAATTATATTTGTAAATAAGTGAAAAATTATCTGGATAGAATTTTCATTTTGGATATTTATTAATTGAAGTGCTTCTTCATAGATTTGTTTATTAAATTTTGATGGGTCTGTCGGGAAGTCCTTTTGAATTACTTCGTTCAAAAACAAAAAATCCTCCACTTCTAGAAATTTTTCTAAAATACTATTTTCTTGAATCATATTCACGAAAAATTCGGATTGTCTAGTATTCCACCAATGAGTAAGCCATGATCCCATACAGTGATTCAAGGCTACATAAATCCCCCAGGGTAAAAAGACTAGAAAGGAAAGATATAAGAGAGGAGTGAAAATTTTCTTTTTTGTCATTTTTTGATCTTAAAATTTTGAATCAACCGAATTAAAAAAAAAAAAATAGAAACTTCTTCCCTAAATGCATTTGGTCAAAGGTATAAATAAGGGTTTTTCTATAACCTATTAATTTATTTATCCTTATTTTGTTTGAGTCTTGGAATCTACCAAGAATACAGACTAGGACTTATCTTTTTCTAGTCTATATACTCTAAGAGGCATG